TCCCGCAGCTACGTTGCCCGAAAAAAAATCGACTAGTATTTTGGTATTGCAAGAGCAATACAGGGCGTGAACTGATCAAATATCCTGCAAAAAAATATATAGAAAATTTTGCAAGGCCTTTGACAAAAGTATATATATGTAAAACAAGAAAAAAAAACACTGATAAAACGAAAAAGGTCGAAAAGCCTAAAACCTTCCGACACTCCACTTCAAAAAAAATATGTTGGGGAAAAAAGTTGTGATTGCCAACAACATCTAGTGTTCTACCCTACACTAACCAAAGTACGTATAACTTCCATTTAGCTTATCGAACACAAAAACGAAACCGACTTTTCCCCAAGAGTAAGCTAACGGCCGTTAATGATAAGGAATTCTTAGTTATCCTAAATAAAAGAGGGATATTTCGGTTTTACTTTGAAATAATTTTGCGTCGAGCTAAATCTGAATGGCTAAACGTGACGTCATCAGCTCAACCCCAGTTTTTTTATCCCAAAATTTGTGCGATAATTTATGGTGTTATTTCAGCGCATTTGCTTTAAAAATACTTCAGTAATAACAATGTTAAAAACGAAACCCAGTAAAACATACAAAAAAAAAAGGATATTTACAAAGATTAAAAAGCCTGATACTGGAAGTTACCAACTAGGATTTTCATCAAGATTGGGTTGGTTCTTCTGTGTAAACCATGCAGACACCCCCCCCTAATCCATCTTCAGCACCTTTGAAAAAATGCTTCTATTTTCTCCTGCAAACGACAGTTTCAAGCGAATCTGACGATGATTCCTCGCAAAAAACAAATAAATAAATACATTAAAAAAAAAACACAACAAGCAAATCCCTCACCTGACGAAAAAATAAATAATCGAATAAATAAAAAGGTTAATGGCGCCGACCTTCCTTGTGCTTCTGATTTTACTTTGATATCGCTGTCTCTGATTACAGGCGGACGAAGACGAGGGCAAACGGGCGGGCACACTGAGAGAGGCAGACGGACAGACAGACACAACGAATTTTTCTCTCTCCCCCTCTCTCTGTCTGTCTGTCTCTGTCTGCCTCTCTGTCTGTCCTGTCTGTCTCTGTCTGTCTGTCTGTCTGTCTTCTGTCTGTCTGTCTGTTGTCTGTCTGTCTGTCTGTCTGTCTGTCTGTCTGTCTGTCTGTCCTGTCTGTCTGTCTCCTGTCTGTCTGTCTGTCTGTCTCTGTCTCTGTCGTCTCTTCTCTCATCTCTTCTCTCATTCTCTCGTCTCTCTCTTTCTTTCTTTCTTTCTTAATCTTTCTTTCCTTTCTTTCTTTTCTTTTCTTTCTTTCCTTTCTTTCTTTCTCCCTTCTCCCCTCTTCTCACCACACACACACACACACACACCACACACACACACACACACACACACCAAACACACACACACACACACACACACACACACACACCACACACACACACACACACACACATAACACACACACACTGTAGACATACTCTTTCATGTGTATAACGTTCAGAAATAAACACGAAGCTACACTGTATGACCAGGAGGTTTTTTCTTCATAATATAATAGTAATAGTAATAGTAATAAAAATATCATGATGATTAAAACGTAGAATATCAATATTACCCATAACAAACATCATAAAGGGGCAATAATAATACCAACAATAATATCAATAATAATAATGATGATGATACTAATAACAAACATTAAGAAAAATAAATAAACGAACAACAATACTAATAATAACAACAATAACGACAGTTAAACAACAATAATAACAATGATAATGATAATACAAATAACAACAATAACAACAATGATAATAAAACAATAATAACAATAATAAAAATATCACTTATACAACATAACAGTTATTTAATAATGTTAATGCGGTAGATAGTGATGATGATGATAGCACAACAGAGAAAAACATAATAATGATAATGATAATGATAATAATAATAATAATAATAATAATAATAATAATAATAATAATAATAATAATAATAATAATAATAATAATAATAATAATAATAATAACAATAACAATAACAATAACAATAACAATAACAATAACAATAACAATAACAATAATAATAATAATAACAATACTAATAATAACAATACTAATACTAATAATAATAATAATAATAATAATAATATAATAATAATAATAATAATAATAATAATAATAATAATAATAATAATAATAATAATAATAATAACCCTCCCAATAAACCTCCGACCACGCATAAACGATTCGAGATTTCATCGCGAGAAAGAGCGAGATCTGGCGAGAGAGACAACCCCATCGCGAGAAAGAGCGAGATCTGGCGAGAGAGACAACCCCATCGAGAAAGAGCGAGATCTTGGCGAGAGAGACAAACCCATCGCGAGAAAGAGCGAGATCTGGCGAGAGAGACAACCCCATCGCGAGAAAGAGCGAGATCTGGCGAGAGAGACAACCCCATAGCGAGAAAGAGCGAGATCTGGCGAGAGAGACAACCCCATCGCGAGAAAGAGCGAGAAGAGAGGGCGAGCTGAGCGAGAGAGACAACCCATAGCGAGAAAGAGCGAGATCTGGCGAGAGAGCAACCCCATCGCGAGAAAGAGCGAGATCTGGCGAGAGAGACCAACCCATCGCGAGAAAGAGCGAGAGTAGCGAGAAAGAGCGAGATCTGGCGAGAGAGACAACCCCATCGCGAGAAAGAGCGAGATCTGGCGAGAGAGACAACCCCATAGCGAGAAAGAGCGAGATCTGGCGAGAGAGACAACCCATCGCGAGACGAGATCTGGCAACCCCATAGCGAGAAAGAGCGAGATCTGGCGAGAGAGACAACCGCCATCGCGAGAAAGAGCGAGATCTGGCGAGAGAGACAACCCATAGCGAGAAACAGCGAGATCTGGCGAGAGAGACAACCCATAGCGAGAAAGAGCGAGATCTGCGAGACAGAACCCATAGCGAGAAAGAGCGGAGATCTGGCGAGACAGACAACCCCATAGCGAGAAAGAGCGAGATCTGGCGAGACAGACAACCTCATAGCGAGAAAGAAGCGAAGATCGAGAGAGAGAACCCCATAAGTCTGGCGAGAGAGACAAACACCCATAGCGAGAAAGAGCGGAGATCTGGCGAGACAGACAAACCCCATATGCGAGAAAGAGCGAGATCTGGCGAGAGAGAAACCCATAGCGAGAAAAGAGCGAGATCTGGCGAGAGAGACAACCCCATCACGAGAAAGAGCGAGATCTGGCGAGAGAGACAACCCCATCGCGAGAAAGAGCGAGATTCGACGGTGCGAGTGGGGTCATTCAGAGCAGGGGTCTCCAACCTGGTTGATATAAACCCCTGGGGGTCGGTGAGAAAGGGGGGAGGGGAGGGGAAGGGGGAGAGGGAGAGAGGGGAGAGAGGGAGAGGGAGTGGGAGAGAGGGAGAGGGAAGAGTGGGAGTGGGAAGAGAGGGAAGAGGGGAGAGGGGTGGGGGTGAGAGAGGGGAGAGAGGAAGGGCGAGGGACTACCCAAGGGACCGATAAACCCTGGGGTGGTCAAATGGGGTCTATAACCTGGTATGTTAGGGCTTGGTCTGCAGAATCCTTCACAAATATATGGTGTGGTAAACTGCGCATCAACTTTTTCGCTATTGACACTTATTCGTCCTGCTTGGCCAAAAGATGAGGAACCAAGGATGCCACGAAGGGGTAACCGGCCTCAGTGGCTTGGGGTCCCCCGGTTCAGAGAAAGCGAGACATCCTTACAATAGATAGTAATAGATATACAATAGATAGTAATAATATACAGTAGATAGTATATATAGGATAGTAATAGATATACAATAGATAGTAATAGATAGAGATAGGCCTACAATCCCACAACGCTAAGTGCGAGATCGAGCGGGAATTCATTCGGGGGAAAGCGAGACAGCGAGAGCGAGCGAGAGATCCAACGAAACAGGATTCTCTCCGGAACGAGAAAACGCGGGACCGAACGAGAAAGCGCGAGAACCAACAAGATCCAAGAGAAAATGCGAGATCTGGAGAGTTCACTGAGAGAAAGCGCGAGATCCGACGAGACATAGCGAGATCCAGCGTGTTCGTTGAGAGAAAGCGCGAGATCCGACGAGACATAGCGAGATCCAGCGAGTTCATTGAGAGAAAGCGCGAGATCCGGCGAGGAGCGGAAGGCCCAAGCAGCCAGCGCACGTCGGCCCATTGCTCACGCCTCCCAAGAACCCGATTCCCTCTTATGTAACGGCCGAGATTCCGGTCACAGCTTGGCTTTCGTGACGTCAACCGGGCCGCCGCATTCTTCGCTGTCTTACACGGATCCTCCATCGAGCTCCACGGTTCCTCTCGCGCGCTTGGCCTCTCCGGTTCTGCGTCGTCTCGCCGGTTCAGCAGAAGCCTCTTGTGGCAGGTCGACGCGCTCTCCGATGGCGGGTTCCCCCTGGCGGTGCGGGCTCTTGTGTATCGCATGACACTGCGTCGGTTTACCTATGATTCATTATGCGTCGGTTTACCTATGATTCATTATGCATCTACTGCCCGCGATGCCCCCTGTCTCCATGGCAACACCGGCGGCACACTCACCGGCGCAGTCCACTCGGAAACAAATGATAAAATACTAAGTGATAATGTATAATGGTAATAGAGAGGGAGTGGAAGAGAGAGAGAGAGAGAGAGAGAGAGAGAGAGAGAGAGAGAGAGAGAGATGAGAGATGAGAGAGTAAGAGAGAGTAGAGAGAGAGAGAGAGAGAGAGGGGGAGGGGGGGCAACAGGAGGGAAGGGAGAGGAGAGGAGAAGGAGGGGGGAGAGGGACAGAGAGGAAGGGAGTGGTGTGGAGGGAGAAAGGAGGAGAAATCGAGGGGGAAAAGAAAATAGAGAGGAAAAGAGAGAAATAGAGAAGAGAGAGAGGAGAAAGAGAGAATTAGAGAGAGAGAGAGAGAGGAGAGGAGAGAGAGGAGAGAGAGAGAGAAGAGAGAGAGAGAGAGGAGAGAGAGAGGAGAGAGAGAGAGAGAAGAGAGAGAGAGAGAGAGAGAGAGAGAGAGAGAGAGAGAGAGAGAGAGAGAGTTAGAGAGAGAGAGAGAGAGAGAGAGAGAGAGAGAGAGAGAAGAGAGAGAGAGAGAGAGAGAGAGAGAGAGAGAGAGAGAGAGAGAGAAGAGAGAGAGAGAGAGAGAGAGAGAGAAGAGAGAGAGAGAGAGAGAGAAGAGAGAGAGAGAGAGTGAGAGTGAGTGAGTGAGAGAGGAATGAGTGAGTGAAAGAAAGAAGAGAAAGAAAAAGAAAGAAAAGAAAGAAAGAAGAAAGAAAGAAAGAAAGAAAGAAAGAAAGAGAGAAGAGAGAGAGAGAAAAGAGAGGAGAAAGAGAGAGGAGAGTGAGAGAGAGAGAAGAGAGAGAGAGAGAGAGAGAGAGAGAGAGAGAAAGAGTGAGAGAGAGAAAGAGAAAGAGAAAGAGAAAGAGAAGAGAGAGAGAGAGAGAGAGAGAGAGAGAGAGAGAGAGAGAGAGAGAGGAGAGAGAGAGAGAGAGAAGAGAGAGAGAGAGAGAGAGAGAGAGAGAGAGGAGAGAGGAGAGAGAGGAGAGAAGGAGAGAGAGAGAGAGGGAGAGAGAGAGAGAGAGGAGAGAGAGAGAGAGAGAGAGAGAGAGAGAGAGAGAGAGAGAGAGAGAGAGAGAGAGAGAGAGAGAGAGAGAGAGAGAGAGAGAGAGAGAGAGCAACGCCTTCCCGGAACCCTTCCTTCCCTGGAGCTGCAAGCCCTAATCTGGAGCAAGACCCGGCCGCCTCTTCCGCTCATGATCGTCACGACGGAGGGGAAGGGGTGAGGGGGAGAGAGGAGGAGGGGAGGGGGTGGAGAGGGAAGGGGTGAGGGGTTGGGAGGGGGGAGGGGAGGGGGGAGGGGGAGAGGAGGAGGGGTGGAGGGAGAGATGAGGAGGGGCTGGGAGGGGGAGAGGAGGAGGGAGTGGGAGGAGGGAGTGAGGAGGAGGGTGGGAGGGGAGAGGAGGAGGGGGGGAGGGGAAGGGGTGTGTAGGAGGGGAGGGGAAGGGGGAGGAGGGTGTTGGGAGGGGAAAGGAAAGGGGAGGTAAGAAAGGAAGAGGTGATGAGGAGGAGAAAGCAGGGAGGTTAGGGAATGGGTAAGAAGAAAGATTACGGGGCAGGAGAAAGAAAGGAGAAGGGGAAGGAGACGGATCAAGAAGAGAAGAATAAGAAAAGGGGAAGGAGGAGGGGAAGGGGGGGGGAGAGGTTTCAAGAGTAGGAATGAGGGAGGGAGAAGATGGATGGAGAAAGGGAATGGGAAGACGGGGAGGAGAAAGAGAGAGAGAGAGAGAGAGGATGGAGAAAGGGGGAGTGGGAAGACGGGAGGAGGAAAACGGAAAGGAATTGGGGTAGGGGAAGGAGAGGAAAGGAGGAAAAAGGAGAGACGAGGGGGGGAGGAGGAGGGAGAGAGAAAAAGAGGGAATAAGGGGAAACGAGCAAAGGGAGAGAAAAGGGGGTGAAACTGAAAGCAAGATCGACAGAGACAGGACAGAAGACAGACAGACAGACAGAAAAGAAAGACAGAAAAGAAAGACAGCAGACAGGAGGACGAGAGAGAGAGGCGAAAAGGAGACAAATCCCGATCGCCGGAACAACAGACGCAGAGACGGAACAACAACAGAGACGCAGAGACGGAACAACAGACGCAGAGACGGAACAAACAGACGCAGAGACGGAACAACAGACGCAGAGACGGAAACAAACAGACGACGGAACAACAGACGCAGAGACGGAACAGCAGACGCCAGAGACGGAACCAACAGACGCAGAGACGGAACAACAGACGCAGAGACGGAACAACAAAGACGGAACAACAGATCAGAGGCAGGCCAACAGACGCAGAGACGGAACAACAGACGCAGAGGCAGGCCAACAGACGCAGAGACGGAACAACAGACGCAGAGACGGAACAACAGACGCAGAGACGGAACAACAGACAGACGCAGAGATCGGAACAGCGCACAAGCGCAGAGACGCAGAGACGAACAAACAGAGCAGAGACGCACAGACGCAGAGACGGAACAACAGACGCAGAGACGGAACAACAGACGCAGAGACGCAAACAGACGCAGAGACGGAACAACAGACGCAGAGAACAGACGCAGAGACGGAACAAAGACGCAGACGAACACAGACGCAGAGACAACAACAGACGCAGAGACGGAACAACAAGACGCAGAACAGAGAACGCAACAGACGCAGAGACGGAACAACAGACGCAGAGACGGAACACAGACGCAGAGACCAACAGACAGAGACGGAACAACAGACGCAGAACGAACAGACAGACGCAGAGACGAACAACAGACGCAGAGACGGAACAACAGACGCAGAGCGAACAACAGACGCAGAGACGGACGCCACAACAGACGCAGAGACGAACAACAGACGCAGAGACGGAACAACAGACGCAGAGACGGAACAACAGAACGCAGAGACGGAACAACAGACGCAGAGACCAACAGACGCAGAGACGGAACAACAGACGCAGAGACGGAACAACAGACGCAGAGACGGAACAACAGACGCAGAGACGGAACAACAGACGCAGAGACGGAAACAACAGACGCAGAGACGGAACAACAGACGCAGAGACGGACAACAGACGCAGAGACGGAAAACAACGCAGAACGGAACAGACGCACGGAACAACAGACGCAGAGACGGAACAACAGACGCAGAGAGGACGCAGAGACGGAACAACAGACGCAGAGACGGAACAACAGACGCAGAGACGGAACAACAGACGCAGAGACGGAACAACAGACGCAGACGCAGGCCAACAGACGCAGAGACGGAACAACAGACGCAGAGGCAGGCGACGCAGAGACAACAACAGACGCAGAGACGGAACAACAGATAGAGACGGAACAACAGAAGAGACGGAAACAGACGCAGAGACGGAACAACAGACGCAAGACGGAACAACAGACGCAGAGACGGAACAACAGACGCAGAGACGGAACAACAGACGCAGAGCAGAACAGACGCAGACGGAACAACAGACGCAGAGACGAAACAAACAGACGCAGAGACGGAACAACAGACGCAGAGACGGAACAACAGACGCAGAGACGGAACAACAGACGCAGAGACGGAACAACAGACGCAGAGACGGAACAACAGACGCAGAGGCAGGCCAACAGACGGGCGGACGCGACACAGACCCAGACAGAGCGGAAAGGAAATCAGGAGCCACATGAGGTAAAAAAAAAAAAAAAAAAAAAACCCAAGATGTGC